ACTAGCAAATTGATTCATTTTTTCTGAACCGTGATCAGTGGTTTATACTTTTGTTGAATCTTTAAGCAAAAAAATTATTACAACACTTTTCTTGTGTTAAAGTTTCAAAGGTCATCAAAAAACATTGCTCTAGAGGGTTAATGTTCTCGTTCAAAAGGTGAAGGAGATATTATTTCTCAACCAGTAAACGTTAAGGAGGTTAAATGAAATTTACTCTAAAGTATATGTTCTTCTCACCGAAGGTCTTTCGGAAACAGTCTCTCTATTCCTTCGGGGTAGGGGTAAGGTCTGCGTACACACTACTCTCCCCAGACCCCATTAGTGGAATTTTACTGGGTTGTTGTTGTTGTATATGTTCTTCTCACCAAATAATTGTTTATGTTAATATGGTACCAGAGCCTAGCAGTGTCAGCTTCTTCCAATACCCACAATCCAACGTGAATTCTCTTTCACATTTATACCGTTTCTCCTTCTCCTCCTACTCCACTTAACCATGGTCATCACTTCATTTCAGAAGTATTAACGAGAATGTTTGATTATGGACTTCTATTATTTTGTGTTTAACTCGTTATCCAGAACTAAAATACACTGTATGATTGTCACTTTGGAGTGAAGAAAATGGGAGGTGCCTAACTTTGTTGACAACTTTGTTGAAGAAAATGGGAGGTGCCTAACTTTGTTGACAACTTTGTTGAAAAAAATAGAAGATGCCTAACTTTGTTGACAACTTTGTTGAAGAAAATGGGAGGTGCCTAACTTTGTTGAAAAATTATAGGACTAAATCAACAACAAGACATCTTCTTTGTAGTAGTTGAATGGCATCTCTTACTATAAATAGAGACCTCCATTCTTCATTTCAATTACACCAAAATAAGAGAGAAGCAATGGAAGTTAAGAGAGAGTAATCCACAGATTGTAGTTTATGAGATAAATAGTAAGTGTGAGTAATATTATAGTGAAGTGTTTTAAATAAAGAGTGTTATTTCTTTCAAGATTGTAGTAGTCTCTTGACACTACTAAATTATAATATTATAGTTGTTATATTGCTCCGCTAGGGTATTGTATTTTACCCATTAAAAGAGTTGGTGTCGTTGTTACTCTCTTGTGTTATTATTATTTGTCGTGGATATTATTCCTGGACGGGATTATTATTTTTTCCAACAATGTGGTATCAGAGACATGGCAAATAATGGTACGCTGTCTTTTCAGTACTCCCGTATCACAAAAGATAATTATAAGAAATGGTGTTTACGTATGAAAGCCATTCTTGGCTCTCATGATGCGTGAGAAATTGTAGATAGAGGGTATGCAAAATCCGATAATAAGAAAGCTCTGCCTCAAAATGAAAAAATGTCTTGGCAAAGACAAGGAAGAAAGATCAACAAGCCCTCACGCTCATCCATCAATGTCTGGATGATGCCATGTTCGAGAAGGTAGCAGATGCTACCACCTCAAAGGAAGCTTGAGAGATTTTACAAAATTCTCTTCAAGGAGTTGACAAGGTGAGGAAGGTAAAACTTCAAACTCTAAGGGTTGATTTTGAAGTTTTAAAAATGAAAGAATCTGAATACATTTAAGATTATTGTTCAAAAGTGAAGGCCGTTGTAAATCAATTAAGAAGATATGTGGAGGACATAAAAGATGTCTGTATAGTAGAAAAGTTCCTTCGCACTTTAACACCTTAATTTGATTTTGTGGTTTGTGCTATTGAGGAGTCTAAGGATTTAGACTCTATGATGGTAGAGCAATTGGAGGATTCTTTACAGGCCCATGAAGAAAAGATCAGGAGGAGACAAGAAGTGCCATTGGAGCAACTTCTTAAAACTCAGGCATCTTTTAAAGATTATGGAGGTAAAAAGAGCTATCGAGGGAATGGACGGAGATGAGGTCGTGGCAGTCATGGAAGAGGAAGAAGCAACGCTAACAACTTCAACAATGAAGTTAAAATCCACCAGACATTCAGAGGTCGTGGTCGTGGACATAGAGGAGGAATAGGACATGGCTACTACCAAGAAAATAATGGACAAAGGTATGACAAATCAAAAATTGAGTGTTATAATTGTCATAAATTTGGCCATTGCTCTTGGAAATGTCGTAGCAATATTGAAGAAAAATCTAACCTTGTTGACCAACAAGAAAAAAAAAGTTGAGTCAACATTATTGATGGCACTCAAGGAAGAAGACAAAGATGATTGCAGCTCGTGGTATTTGGATAATGGAGCAAGCAATCATATGTGTGGATGCAAAGAGAAGTTTGTGGAGATCAATAAAACGGTGAGAGGTAATGTGTCCTTTGGAGATACCTCAAAGATTCAAATTGAAGGGATATGTACGATTCTGATCTCCTGTAAAGATGGTAGTCATAAGTTAATTCAAGATGTTTATTATGTCCCAAAATTAAAAAATAATATTTTAAGTTTGGACCAACTTCTTGAAAAGGAATATGACATCCACATGAAAAATATGCATCTTTGGCTTAGAGATTCAAGTGAAATTCTAATTGCTAAAGTGCATATGGCTAAGAATGGATTATTCTCTCTGAATCTTAAGACAATTGATGCAAAATGTTTGAAGGCTAATGTGCAATATGAATCATGGTGTTGGCACATGCGATTTGGGCACTTAAATTTTGAAGCGCTCAAATCAATGGGAGAAAAGAACATGGTGCATGAGATACTATCAATAAGCCATCCCAATCAATTGTGTGAAGCTTGTCTTCTTGGAAAACATGCAAGGAAGAATTTTCCAAAGGAGGCCATGTCAAGATCAACCAAGCCGCTTCAGCTTGTTCACACTGATGTGTGTGGACCAATCAATCTACTTTTCTTTGGTAAAGAAACTATATCTTGTGCAGTTTATTTGAACAACAGTCTCCAACAAAGAATGTTAAAGATCAAACCCCTCAAGAAGCATGAAGTGAAAGAAATCCAAGTGTTAAGCACTTAAGAATCTTTGGGAGCATAGACTATGCTCATGTTCCACATCAAGGGAGAGCGAAGCTTGACGATCGAAATGTCAAGCATGTGTTTGTTGGCTATGATACTAGTTCAAAAAGCTACAAGCTATACAACCCAAGTAGCTGCAAGATGGTAAATCGCGATGTTGAATTTGATGAAGAATTGGCATGGAACTAGGAAGCTCAAGAAGAAACTTCATATGATTTTCTTACATAGTTTGGTGATGAAGAGGAACCAGAGACCATGGAACCTGGGCCAGATACAACTCCACTTCCTTCTCCAACAAATGTTGTATCTCCCTCTTCTAAAAAAAGTTTAAATGAACAACCGCAAAGGACAAGGAGTATTCAAGAGCTCTATGAGGACATAGAAGAAGTTACTAATTTTGATTTTTTATATTGTCTCTTTATTGATAGTGAACCAATAAATTTTGATGAAGCTGTTGAAGACAAGCCATGCAGGAGGAGATCGAGTCAATAGAGAAGAACAACACTTGGGAGTTAACAACTCTTTCCAAGGGTCATCGTGCAATTGGAGTTAAATGGATATACAAGGTAAAGAAGAATGTTGATGGAGATCTGGAGAGATATAAGGCACGACTTGTAGCTAAAGGCTACAAGTAAAGGCAGTGCATTGCCAAGAAGGAAGTCAAACTCAAATATATGAAGTCTCATGATCAGGCTGCAGATATCTTTACAAAGCCTTTTAAGTTTGAGGATTTTCATAGATTGAGATCAAGTCTTGGAATGAAAAAGAAAAATCAAAATTAAGGGAGAGATTTGTGGGGCTCATATTAAAGAAAAACAAAGAAAAAAATGTGAGATGCCTAACTTTGTCGACAACTTTATTGAAAAAAATGGGAGGTGCCTAATTTTGTTGAAAACTTTGTTGAAGATAATGAGAGTTACCTAACTTTGTTGAAAAATTATAGGATTAAATCAACAATAAGACATCTTCTTTGTAGTAGTTGAATGGCATCTCTTACTATAAATAGAGGCCTCCATTCTTCATTTCAATTACACCAAAATAAGAGAGAAGCAATAGAAGTTAAAGAGAGTAATCCACAGATTGTAGTTTGTGAGATAAATAGTAAATGTGAGTAATATTGCAGTGACGTATTTTAAATAAAGAGTGTTATTTCTTTCAAGATTGTATAGTCTCTTGACAGTACTAGGTTGTAATATTATAGTGGTTATATTGCTCCACTCGGGTATTGTATTTTACCCATTAAAAGAGTTGGTGTCGTTGTTACTCTCTTGTGTTATTATTATTTGTCGTTGATATTATTCTTGGACGGGATTATTATTTTTTCCAACATGAATTTTAGAACCAGCACTAAAACAATACACTGTAAAGCATCTATATAAACTACACTTAGTCTCTTTTATTCAAGCATTTGAAATGCCAATTTTCTTGAAATAAAAGCCCACAGAAGGGCCAAAGCACAACAAGCCTACTCATCATCAAAGCAAGTCCAAGCCCATGCAAAAATGTCAGGTCCAGTTTCGATCTCTAACTAACTAACTTACAACATAGGCCGGAAGAGAGATATTCAGAAAATCCGATTTCCTGTCTTAAGAACCTGACTCAAAAGAAAAAAGAAGACTGGACTAAAAGGGATCTCACTTTCGACGATTGAACTTGACTTTTATATCCAGATTGGAACTGTTCTGAGAAGGTCAGGCCTCATGCCCTTCTTCTCCAAATATATTATTGCTATTTTGCTTTCAATAACATAATATTGCAGTATTATTTTTATTTTTTTCACTATTATTCCAACATAACATGCCCTGTCTTTGCCCCAAAAAAATGAAAATACATTTACGTGGATCCATTCACTCCCTCATTATTATGTGTTTATATTATAATAAAATATGTGTGTATATATATATATATATNTAGTAATGTAAAGATGGATTTTAAATAAGCAATTGTTTTTTACCTTGGTTGGTTCTTGGAGGAAACTTTATTTTATATCCTCCTCCGGGAAATTTTCCACATGTTTTCTCCTCATGTTATTACATAATTGATTTTGATTTGCAGCACTTGAAGGAAGAAACAGCAAACATAGCAAAGAAGATCGAGATCCTTGAAGTTTCTAAGAGGTATTGTGTTAGCAGTTACTTTTCCCCCTGCATTCTTCAACGTGATACTCTCTCTTTTATATTTCTTGGCATATTCAGTGCAATCTTGAATTTGAAATGCTTAGGAAGCTTATGGGTCAAGGTATTGGATCATGTTCAATGAATGAACTTCAAGAGATTGACAGCCAGCTGGAAAGAAGCCTGAAGAACATCAGGGCAAGAAAGGTATTAATGTACCAATTTAAATTATATGTGTCCTACAAAGTGGAGTTGATTCCCTTTTCTTCTTCTTTGGTAATTGGTGACTCCTAAAATGTTTTAGTGATTGACCTTCATTGATTAACCAGTTCTTTCTTGGTCATTTTCTAGACTCAATTATTCAAGGACAAAATTCAACGGTTAAAAGCCAAGGTATGATGAAACAACTTCAATGCATTTCATGGGTTTTATTACTTACTACTTCTTTAAGTGCTCCCCGTACTAGTAGCCTTTTGTTTCCTCTTGTGCAGGAAAAACAATTGCTTGAAGAAAATGAAAGATTATCTGAAGAGGTGAATTAATTGACTCTCCCATATATCTGCTCTGTCGAATAATAATGTATCTTGTCAAAGTGGCCGAGGTCATGTTTGTATCATTGTTTTCGTATATTCTTCTAACTAAATTAACTAAAAGGGTTTTAGATCAATGAAGCTCTACAGCTTATGAAACTGCAAGTTCAATTCCAAAAACCACCTGCGAGAGTAAACGCTGCAATTATATTATATGCGACTAATGAAAAATGCTAAAGCAATCTTAGACCCAATAATTATAGTCTGAAGCCTGTTTAAACTATGAGTTTAAGTTATATTATACCATTGATGCAAATTAACCAGCTAGAAGAGGTCGTTAATTACTCAGCTTTCTAGGTTACCATATCAATCTTGATATGACGAGTTACTTGTTGTAAGTCCGTTGAGTTCCATTTGGATGTGCGAAGTAAATTTGGACTCCTTATATGGTCTTGGGCAATCCTCATCTCATGAGCTAACTTTCGGGGTAAGGTTAGGTCCAAATTTCATTTTCTTATCGTGGTGTTAGAATCAGGCCATTCTTAATTTATTGTTTACTCGATATTGGACCTCCATCTTATATTGTCCACGCTCGAGATGTCCAGTCCTAGGCGTACAGGGGCATTGAGTCCCATATTGCCTATGAGAAAGAAAATTGGACTTCGTTTTGGATAATCCTAACCTCATAAACTAGCTTTTGGAGTTGTTAGGTCCAAGGTCCCTTTTCTTATCAAAATCAACTTAATCTAGTTGTGTAAAAGTTCTAAATACTGTCAGTGTCCAAAATATTACTCCTAAAGTTTATGCATGACCTGGTTTTGTTGACAATTCTTATCATCATGATGATAGTGTGGGCTAAGGCGGCAACCAGAAGCACCACCACCTCCCCTAACACGAATATCCCAACAGAAAGAAACGGCAAGCTGTAGCCATAGCGTCCAGAATTCAGAGGTGGAGACTGATTTGTTTATTGGTCTTCCTGACATTTGTTGGTCGTAGCTGCTGGAATAATTTTCTCAAATTCGATACAAGCATTAAAAGCATGCAAATGCAAAAAATAAGGTATATACGAGTGCAAGATTTTATTTGTCTTTTACCCCTTTGCAGCTTCTTGCTAAATGTATCTATATTTCCATGAATAATGGTTGTAAAGAAGCCTGATTTAATTGCATATTCATATAGTTTATTCTCTTTCATGCAGTATTAGTTCTAAACTTTTTTCTTTTCTCCCAACCCTTCAAACTTTATATGGAAACTGAAAAAGATAGTGAGTGGCTACTACGAGTTCATATTTCCATTGTCAGAGCATAAAGAAAGCAAAAATTTCCTTTTTCATATCACAAAAAAGAAAGGAAAAGAAAAGCTCATTCGGATTCTAAAGGCATCTGGTTATAGATGGTTGAGGCATGAGATTGGTAAAAATTTCACGGCGTGCGCTATTTGGTCACCACATTATTTAACTTGTATCAACTTTTAAAAAAAATTAATTAGTATTCAAAGAACAGATAACTTAAGAATATTTTCTCCTCCCTCCTCCTCCTCCTCCTCCTCCTTAGTTGTTGTGACAGCAAAGGTGATGGTAGATTTACGCGGTGTTTGATTTTAAGATGGTTTATAGTGTTTTACAGCAGTGAGTTGATGTGACACTTCTCTTTTTGCTACTTCTTAGAGTTTCTTTGTAACGACCAGATCAGTCATTTTACTTTCTAGATCCCCGTTCTCCTATTAAAAACTTTTCGCATATGCTTTTACTATTTTATGACTTAGAAGGATGATTGGTTTGGTTTTGGAAGGGTTCACATTGAATTCAGAACACATATTCCATAATAGTGGCCTAAGGTGACCAAGTCTGACGTGAGTCAATACTTTGAGTAAACGCTCTCGAAATCGGGATTTGAAGGTTCCAATTGGTTCGTATGATAATTTTAGACTTGGGCGTATGTTCTGATCGAGTTTCGTGTAGACCGGGAGTGTTTCGACGCTTATTGTTGAAAGTTAGCGTCTTGAAGGTTTTAGAGTTTCCTAAGGTTAATTTGAAGTAGGTTTTGGTGTTATCGAAATTCGTTTGGGATTCCGAGCCTTGAAATTGGTTCGTATAGTGAATTGTGACTTGTGTGCAAAATTTGGGTTCATTCCGGATAGATTAGGCTTGAATCGGATGCCTTGTTCAAAGTTTGAAGTATATGAACTTACTGTTTTGATCTTGAGGGGTGATTCATAGTTTTGAAGTCATTTTGTGTGGTTTGAAGTATAAAATGGGATCGTATTGTGTTTTATGACTTGTTGGTGTGTTTTAATGGGGTACCAGGGGCCTCGGGTATATTTTGGATAGATTTCGGATCATTTTGGTTGATGTTGGTATTGCTGGTTTTTAAAGGTCTGGTGTTTTCGCATCTGCGGAAAAGGGCCGCAGAAGCGGCCAGTGGAGCGCATCTGTGAGTTTTGTCTTGGTGGGCTGGCGCACAGATGCGAGGAATTTACCGCAGATGCAGAAGTTGGCCTGTTGAGGAAGAACCGTAGATGCACACATTTTTTTGTAGAAGCGGCTGGAGTCCGCAGAAGCGGAAGGTCGGCACTTTAGTGAAAGCCGCATCTGCGAGGTTAGTTCCACAGATGCGGAGTCGCAGAAGCGGAGAAGGTTCCGCAGATGCAGAAATTGCTAGGCAGAAGGTGATTTTTAATTCGGGACTAAGGCTCATTTCTTTCATTTCTCTCTTGGCTTGGCCGATCTTTGGGAGCTCTTTTGAGGGGATTTTCATCAAGCATCACACGGTAAGTGAAAATCTAGCAATTCTTGAGTTAATACACCGATTATGAGTAGGTTTTAACATACTCCCTCCGTTTCAATTTATGTGAATCTATTTCCTTTTTAGTCCGTGCCAAAAAGAATGACCACTTTCCTTATTTGGAAACAATTTACCTTTATGCAATGATTTATAGCCACACAAAATATATGTACCTCATTTTACACCACAAGTTCAAAAGTCTTCTCTTTTTTCTTAAACTTCATGCCCAGTCAAATGAGTTCACATAAATTAAAACGGAGGGAGTATAAATTATGAAAATTTTGGGAATTTTATTGGAAAACCTAGGTTTTAGTAAAAATGGGATTTGACTACGAAATTGATTATGGAATTGAAAATAAATTATATATTTGAGTTCGTAAGGTCATTGGTAACAATTATCTATAAATATTTTCGAAATCCAGGCACGTGGACCCGAGAGTGACTTTTATGGACTTTCCGAATTAGGATGAAAAATTATTTTAATAGCTAAATTATAAACTTTTGGACATATATTGATTAATTTATACGACTTTTGACTAGTTTCAGATTGCTCGGCATCGATTGGAGTCTACTAGTGCGATTTAAGAGCCGGGTAGTGAGGGAAGCGAGGTAATTCTCTTTCCTGATCTTGTAAGAGGGAATTATCCCCGTACCTGTATTAATTGTTGTGTGCTACTTGTTGTGGGAGCTACGTATGCACGAGGTGATGAGAGTCCGTATGTAGCTGGATTCATATTTATGTCTGGGTAGACTTAGTTTCACATCATGCCTTAAATGTTCTATTTGAATTAATCTTGTGTATTTGATTTCTTTAATTTATGACTCAGATTGAGGCTAGAACAAAATATTGACTGAGTCTCTTACTTTGGAAATTGTGAAATATTTGATAAACGGTAGTTCCGTGTCTTCTTGACTCGCATGTATTTTTGCTAGAGAGAGTTTCTATAGTTTTATGGGATCGGGCCATTCGCCTCGGCATGACTACAAACAATTCTTACGGGATCAGGTCGTTTGCCTCGACAGTGTTGTAAACTATTCTTATGGGATCGGGTTGTTCTCCATGACCATGTTGTGAATTACTCTTATAGGATCGGATCGTGCGTCTCGGCAGTATTGTGAGTTATTCTTATGAGATCGGGTTGTTCGCCTCGACAGTATTGTGTAACAATATTCCTATGGGATAAGGCCGTTCACCTTGACAGACTCGTGCGTAATACTTGAGAATTGATTTGATATTAGTATCAGTTGATTGTGTGCCTTTGAGGCTAACAATCCATGTTTGGAAATTTATTATTAAAGCTTATACATTTAGTTGTTACTTGTTGTGTTTCATATGTGTTTACTTTATATATTTTATTATTTTGACCACTAGTAAGTGTCAAGTCGACCCCTCATTACAATTTCTTCAAAGTTAGACTAAATACTTATTAGGTACGCGTTGATTTACGTACTCGTACTACACTTCTGCACTGATTGTGTAGGTACTGAGACAGGTACTTCCAGTGGTCATACAAGTGCATAGACGTATCATACGGAGACTTAGTGAGCTGCTTTTCCTGCTTAGATCTGCAGCACCCGGAGTCTCCCTCTTATCTTATTTATTATTTTTGTCTATTTTATTTCAGAGAATAGTTATAGTGATTTTGTATATTCCCTAAATTTCTCATGCACTTGTGACACCGGATTTTGGGGGCTACTAGTGGTTATTCACTGTTGTACTTATTACTATTATCACTTTGATCTATGTTTATTCGTAATCGGTATTTTGGTGAAGGAGTACGTATATTTCCATGAGTTATTCGTTTAATTCGGTGTATTTAAAGAAATTTTTGATTTTACAAGTTAAAAATAAATAATTAAGTTGGAGATTTACCGTTGGCTTGCCTAACAACATCGACGGGCACCATCACGACCTTTTATGGGATTTGGGTCGTGACATTCTTCTTCTTCTTCCTCTTAGTTACAAAATGAGTTTGTTAGATTTGTTATTATTTTAATAAATTGATGATTAGAGCTTGTTCTTAATGATATTTGAAAGTTATGTTTTAAATTTGAGCTCATTTGGAGTAGATTTGAGTATTGAATTATTGAAATTCAAAGAACAAGTTTTTGTTTCTGAGCAATTTGCACTTCAGACTACGGGTGTTCAAACAGAACCGAAAAATTACACCAAACCAAAAAGTCAAACCAAACCGATTAACAAACCTGATTTGATTTGATTTGGTTTGGTATTGAGTAAAAAAATCTGAACCAAGCCGGCATATAAATATATAATTCTTATATATACTTTTAACATTTTATATAGAGCTTTCTTTAAAAGATATTTAAAAATATTTGGGATCCTCTCATGGGATGTAATATTAATAGAAGTATGAAGTATATTCATTTTTATTTACTTTAAATAAAGGGTTGTATCATCACTTTTTTATCAAGTACTACTGAAATGCGTCAATCTCTTTGTTCTTCCATATTTATATGTCAAGATATTAAATTCTTATATCTTTTTCGAATTTGAAATGGTATTTCAATAATTAAAAATTAAATAGAACATATCATAATTTAGGTATCATATTGATTTTTATGTTTAATTATTAAATTCAGTTAAGCTTGAAAGCGTACATCAATGAAAAATTATTATTAGATAACTAAGAATATAACTATCATGTTTTACTAAAAAATTCTTCAATAAGTATGTTTTAATATATCATACGTTTGTCAGCTTTTTCAATTTTTACTAAACATATATTCATTTATCATAATAATTATTTAATAAAAAAACCCAAAAAATCCGACAAAACCGAACCAATCCAAACCGATATAGTTGGTTTGGTTTGATTTTGATAAAAATCGACCTAACCCGGTCCATGCACACCCTTACTTCAGACTAAAGTTTTAAGTGCATGAAAATATTAGCTACACTTCAGACCAATTAAGTCTTAAGTGCATCTTAAGCGTAATTTTTGCACTACAAATTAAAAAAGTCTTAAGTGCATGCTTCAGACTAAAACAGTCTGAAGTGCATCTTAAGTTTGCAACTTCAGACGCGAATTATTCCAACTTCAGACTCGCTAACTGAAGTTGATCCTAAAGCAGGTAAGTTTGTAAAGTTTTATGCAATATGAGTATAACTTCAGTAGTGACCTCAAAAATAGATATATATGTAAATCCCGTTAGATTGAAAAGACATAAACTATTGGACGATATATTGTCATAGATAATAACCTTTTCAAGAAATCCTAATTTACAATGGGACTCATAAAACACACAAGAGGTCCTAAAACTTTCAATGTTACACTAATTATGTAGCTGATTTGAATAGACTGTTACCAGTTCTAATTGTAACACCTTAATTGTGGGGATAATGACCACGGAAAGAAACTCATGTAC